CCTGGCTCTCACCGCGGTGCCCATTTCTCTTTGTCACCAAAAAACCATCTCGCCGAACCTCTGAAACCAGCTGAAGGTTTGTTTCCATCACCGCCCTTTTCTTTTTGGCTTTGGCGATTTTCCCCCCTCCGCGTTGGGAGTAGAGGCGAGTTCAGGTTTTTCAGGCGTTTAGCAGTCACTGATTGTTGCAGGTATCGATTTCCTTTGATCGTCTGAAAGGTACCGCTTGGTTATTAACGATCTGTAAGTGCTAATGTGCCGCCCCTGATCACATTGAACGGCTCGGGGGGTGGTGGGGAAGGGTTGTGGCGTTTAACTTGAAGCACCTGAGACCCCTGGAATGTCTTGGGCTTCCCACTGGTTTTGGCTCAGGCAGAGGCATTTCAGGAGAAGAAAACTGCCTGATCAGGATTCTTCGCTGGCTGGAAGAGGGCACTGGGATCACTCAGCCTTTTAATGCAGGAATGTGAATATTCTTTAATTCTGGAATGTAAATACCCTTCAGTTATTTGCCAATCCCACAACTTGTGTTCAGGATTTGTACATGGTAGAACAGACATGCAAAGAGTGTCTCCCCCCCTTTCCATTCCTGATAGGTTGGAAAAGACCTCCAGGATCACCAAGTCCACCCTGTGTCCCATTCCCACCTTGTCCCCCAGCCCAGAGCACTCAGTGCCACTGCCAGTCCTTCCCTGGACACCTCCAGGAGTGGGGACTCCTGGGCAGCCCCTTCCAAGGCCTGACCACCCTTTCCATGAGGAAATTCCTCCTGATGTCCAAGCTGACCCTCCCCTGGCACAGCCTGTGGCTCTTTCCTCTTGTCCTGTCACTTATTACCCTGGAGCAGATGCATCTGGCATGTGATTTTTCTGAACCTCCAACATAAAATATCTGAAGGAAAGCAGAAGGAGGGAAAGAATCCAATAAAATCCTGGGGTGTCATAGCTGGAGTGCTGTGTGTTGGAGCTCTGCTTGCTCACAGCTACACTGTGAAGGCTGAGCTTGTGGCTCTTGAAACCCATGACAGGGGATTGTAGACAATTCCTTGACGATGACTTTCAAGGAATATCTTCCCTGTGGAAGTGTGGTGCTGTGCAGGGAGCCTAAGGCTTTGTTTCTTGGATGATGCAAGTGTTGACTCATTAGGTGAAACATAAAAGGATTCTAACTGTGAAGATGGTTCCTACAAAAACAACCCCCCACTTCAGCTGTGAAAGGTTCAGAAAACTGAGGTGGTTGGGGTTTTTTCCCCCCCAAAAAAAGAATCTTTATGTCCACGTATTATTGAAGCTCTGATTTTAAAAGCAGCTTTTAGTGTGGGAATATTAATGTAACCCTTCAGAACTAGGGCACATCTGGTGAATATCACGAGCCCACAGGCATAATGACTCTGTGCCATGTGTCAGAGAAATGCCTCATCTCCAGTGGGACGCTTTACACGGAATGGGAAAGTAAGCAGGGCTGGAGACAGGCAGTGAACCCAACAGCAGTGCTGTGTCTTTACTCTGCTTGGCCACTGCGGTGGCAAAGGTTATGGAAAGCCCTTTTATTTTTATTTTTTTTTTTTAATCGATTATTTCTCTGTTGGTGCCTTTGCTGGTTTGTTCAGCAGTGAACTCTCTTTGGTGCGACACGTCAGGTGTTTGACTTGTCCACGGTGGCCCTTGGATGTGATCCTGCCCTGGAGAAAGCTGCAGTGTGGATTTGCAGCACGCACGTTTCCCGTGGGGGTTACTGGCTCTTATCTCCTGGTAAATGCAGGATGATGTGAGGACAGCTGTCCTTCAGTAGAATAAATCAAATTATCTTGTCTGAAGTTGTCTTGAGTCTATGCAGGAGTTCTGTGCAGCCACACGGAGCTGAGATTGTGCCAGAAGTACGTGGTCAGTGGGGGAAAAAAGAAGGGTGAAATAGCACCTTGCGGTGTGCTGAGGGGAAGGACGGGGCTGGTAAATTAATCTTATTTGCATAGATTTGTCACATTAGAAAAGTTCTTTTCTTGGGTCCACTTGGAAGCTGTTTGGATTTCTGGTAAATGGAAGGAATTGCTCTTTATGGTGAGTTTTGGTGGATAACGTGAACGCATCCATCAGTGTTCTCCTTTCTTAGGGGGGGACATTTTTCCAGGTGCTATCATTCAGGACACAGCTTTGCACCTGGATAAACTCGTTTCCTTATCTGTGTGGCCTCTGTTGCTTCGGAGATGTCTTAACTGGGTGTCATCGTTGTTTTGGGGC